CCACAGCTCAGTCTTTTGGGAACTATGACCTGACATTATGCCTTCAGTTTTTCTGATGGACCAATGTAAGAAATGCCGTGTATGAAATTGCTGCATTTTCTGTGTTCCTGTGTTTGTAACGACTCATGGGACAAACTCTGCTTAGAGCCAGAAGTTTGCCTCTTCTTCTGATGATCCAGCATGCTTGCTTTTATTAGTGAGATTTAAAACACTCTGTTGTACTTCACTTGGCTGCCAGGACTCTTCATATTAACATTTGAGTTTAAATTTTTTCTTGTAAATTCTTTTACTCCTTTTTTCCATTCCCCAAACCCCTTTAGGAATTTTGCCCTGGCCTTTTCATTGTTGCTTACCTGGGTTAGGGTTTTATTAAAATAGCACAAGGTCTTCAAATCCATTTTGGAAGTAGGCAAAACATAAATTGCCATGGCAATGGAAGGTTGGACACAATGTCACTTGTTAGCATTCTAAACTCTTTTAGAACTAGGACATTTCCAGGGAGCTGAGGACAGATGCTAGCTTTTGGATGTTTGGGATGTTATTGCCAATTTCCTCCTAGGGCCATCATTACCACCTGAGCATTTGAAATGAGTTTGAGGTGCTCTCTGTTATATGAAGATACTGCCTGATGACTGACCAGGCAAGTATGGGGGCTCCCTCGTTGTTTGGTCTTTTTACTCCGGCCCAAGTACAGTCTTAAGCTGATGATTCAGAACCATAAACTGTTAGAACTGGAGCTCAGATGGATATGTGAGCGATGATGGGGAGTGGGTGTAAATACAATCCCTGGCCTGCTGCTTACCTCCTTCATCTGCTGTGGCTCCCCTGGCTCCTGAAATTGATGGAAGACGTTTTTTCCATGGACCAGCGTGGGGGGAAGGGGCTGCAGGGCCCTGCAGCCCGGTCCTTAATAGGCCACAGACTAGTATTGGTCTGTGGCCCCGGGGTTGGGGACCGCAGGGTTAAGGGATTCTTTTGAGGTCACACTGCTAGCCAGTGGCAGAATGAGATGAGCACCTTGGTCTCCTGGATCTAATTTCAGGGTCTATATGTATTTGTCTAAGGATTCTTAGACCTTTTGAACTGCTCATTAGGCTTAAATTTTGCAAAGAGCATTTGATAGGAAGTTTTAACCAGTACCTAGCTGTGTGACCTTGGGCAAAATCAGTCAGTCTTAGCAAACCTAGTTACCCATTGGTAAATGGTGATAATGTACTCCTTACTTGCTTTACAGGGTTACTTTCTACCATCACAGACACAAACTATTTGCACATACACCCATCTTTTTCTCCTTATTTCAAAGGAGACAAAAGACATGACTCCTTTGGGCTCAGGCTGATCTCTTTATGTGCATTTCATCCCAGCTCCTTTCTGTTCGGCTCTCATGAAACTTGATCAACTATCAACCCTGTCCATTCGCTCTATTCCTTTTTTATAATAGCCGTGCTTTTGTTCTTCCCCAGGTCTTGTGGAGTTCCTTTTCATGAACCACCTTTCCTTTCCTTCTTATTCGTATGCTAGCTTTCAAGTTTTGACTTTATCTGGTAGTCTTTTTCTGACTGCCCAAGATAACCTCACTCCCTTTCTCCTTAGTGTCTCCAGAGCTCTGGATGTTGTAAATGTCTGGAGGGTAGAGACGGTTTTATTGTTGTATTTGCAACTGAAATATAATAGATGTTTAAATGCATAAATAAATGACTTAGGAGGTAATGTGTGAGATCCCTCTCAAAACTATACATACATATATGTATATACATTGTTTTTCAGGAGGGGTATCCTAAATCTTTTATCCTGTCTTCTCTGTAGGTAAGGATCCAGGCTGATTCTGACCCTGTCAAACTTCCTTGGGGAGTAAAAATAAGCTATAGTACACGGTTTAAAACTCTCAAAAAAAAAAAAAAATCAGGTTTAGAACTCTGGTAGGAGAGTATGGTTTTGTTAGGTGGAATTAGAGTAAAAATAAAACCAGAGAGGAGACAGAGCTAGATTTAAATGAGTTAATAGAGACTAGCTATAAAGGTGGAAATAACCTGAGTTTCAGTTTATTCCGTAAACAGCAAAGTTTAAATGCAGTATTCACTTTTCTCCATGTACTCCAGTTCTGGTTTAAAGCATATTAGTCCCCAAACTGTCCTTTGAAGTTCTAATTAACTAGCTATTTAATTATTTCCCATTATCCTGTTTGGAGACTGGGAGCTAAAAGAGCTACTAAAGCTCTGAAAAATAATCTCGGGCCCAGGGAAGGGTCTGCACCCTATGACTTGTTTTATTTCTTTTCTTTTTGAGATGGGGTCTTGCTCTTGCTCAGGCTGGTCTTGAACTCCTGAGCTCACACGATCCTCCTGCCTCTGTCTCCCAGAGTGCTAGGATTACAGGTGTGAGCCACTGCGCCCAGCCTCCACCCTATGATTTCAACTTAATACTCTAAATGGTTTAGACTCTAAACTTTAGAGCAATGTTTCTCAACTTTAAATGTGCACACAAATTACCAGGCAATCTTAATAAAATGCAGATTCTGATTCAGTTGGTCTTGGGTGAGGCCTGAGATTCTTCATTTCTATTAGGCTCTCAGGTGAGGCCGATGCTGCTGGTCCAAAGGCTACACTTTTTGAGTGGTAAAAGTTTAGAAGATGAAAGCATTAGAAGTGGGAGGGCTTCCAAATTAATTCTGCTGTTTCTTTGATCTGAATTCATGGTTACATTGATAACAGGTCTGAAGCTTGCAAGGCCTTGGCTTGGAGAAAGAAAATGTTGTGAGAAACATTTCTGCTATATCCTAAATAGTTCATCCCACCTTGGGAGCCCCAGAGGGGACCACTGCATCAAAACAATAACTGATGTGCATGAAGATGACTTGGAATTCTGTTCAGTGACTGTCTAGAAGGCAGGCAGGAAAGTATTCATTGAAGTTTAGATATATTTTCATTAGAATGATTAAAACTAGTTACGCTTACATGGATAAATTAAACAATCTGGAAAAAATCACTTTATGAGGCAATCTTCATTCTTGAAAGATAAGCACTTACTTTGTTTATAGGCTTTTTGAGGTGCTGTCTGCCACTTGACACCTTTTTCTAGAACTGTAGAGTGTAGTATTCTAGGTTGCTTTCTGGTGAGGAGTATAAATGAAATCTCTCTTAGGGAAAGCAGGCTTGGCATTGAATCCTGTTTTCATCACTTACTGGTATTGAGACCTTGGGCAAGTTCTCAATTTTCCTGAGCCTGTTTTACCACCTGTAAAATAGTCGTATTATCATTTCATCCGAGGATTTTTAAGATGAGAAGGTATGTGAAAACTCTTGGCATACTGTCCTTTTACCATTATTATTTTTCCCCCAGCTTTGATCCTGGTGGACAACTTGCTTTGTGCCATTTGGCAATTAGTGATTCATCTTCTTGGCTGTCTCTCACCTAAACCTCCTTTCTGGCTTCTGTTAGTGGGAGAGCTGTTGTGAGGTATACAGACCCTTGTAAATGTTTGTAAATCCCTAGAGAAGAGATATTCTTGCTTCTCAGAATAGAATAGAGTGTAGCTTAACCTTTTTCTTTTTTCACAAGGCAGAAACAATGGGGTTCCCATAAATTTTGTCTTTATACACATTTTATGTTAAACACACTCACTTGTCTTGTGTGGTACTAAGTTCAGGTTGATTGGTGACTTGTTCCTGGTTCTCTTCGTTAACAAATGGTCCTAATTTCAGGGTCCTGTGTGCTATGTAGGCTTCTCTAGCTGATGGGGATAAGATCTGTTGAGTCCTCTTAGTAAGGGTGTGGCTGGAGTTCAGTGTCTTTTGTCCTGTAACCTTTGAATTGCAATGGCCTTGATCTGGAGAGTTGTGGTTTGTCCTTGGCTAGATCAGGCACAACCCATTTAATTTGGCTTTCCTATACTCTTTCCCTCTCAGCCTTGCCTTGCCTGTCTCTTAAATTCTTTGGACTCTTATCTTTAAAAGAATTCATTTACTGTTCTGTGATTGTTCCTATGTCCTTCCTATCTCTGAGGTTTTGTTTATTGGCTGCCCAGTTCCATATCCTGTTGTTCTCTGTTCAGACCTTATCAAAACAATCTTTAAGACTACTGATCCACTAAAGACTCAGCTTTGACTTCTTAACTACTTGGCATTCTCATTGGCCTTAAAAGTAGTGTTTTCTAATCAACCTATTATGCTACTTTAACTTTTTAGTCTCTATATCTGAAATTACTTCTAACCAGATTTAGGAATTCCTAGTTTCAAAGTTGCTTCTAACTTACTATATGGCTTTTAGTAAATAAATTTAACCACATTGGGCCTATATTTAACCTGTAAAGTCAGGATTGGATCAGAAATTTTTCAAACATTCTGTGGTATTGGTTGGGAGATGGGGATGAGAATAAGAAAGCTTGGTGGGTAGGACCCCAGGCTCATTTAATTAAATGGTTCTATTTTTTTCTTATGTATTGAAGGATTTCACTATTAGTAAGTTGGAAAAACCACTAGCTGGTCTTTGAGATTGCTTCTAGCTTTGGCTCGTCTATGAGCCTTGTTGTAGTAGTATATCTATTTTTAGATTAGACGAGGACACCTAAACTGTATCACAAGTATTGGTCCAAACTCATCAGGGTACTCTACATCATCCAGTCTGGTTCCCGATACTTTTGACCAAGGCTCTGATCTGACCATCCCAGTGCCCCATCTTTGTCCTTCTGTTCGTAATATTCCCAGCAGCACGGGGATCATTTGTAAGCCTCCCTTCCCCATTCAGTCCTACTCAGTCTTCAAGACTGGTGTAAATGTCCTGTGCCTTCAAGAAACCTTCCCCAGTTGGCCATTTTCCCACAGTACATTTTCTACTCTTAGGGCTCAGTATACTTTGCTTTGTCTGGCAGTTTTATGTGTAAAGCTCAGAGAAGGGCAGGATCTTGGTTTCTTCATTCTAAACCACTCCAATGCTTAGAATTGTACTGTTCTGAAAGTGCCATGGGTCCAAGTCATGGCTTAAAAATTCTTTTTCTCTTTCAGGATCGAATCATCAATTTAGTTGTTGGCAGCTTAACATCCTTATTGGTTCTTGTAAGTATCTTTATTTTCTGCCTCACTCAGGCTCTTAGCCAAAGTTTTGAGAACTTTAGTATTTTAGTATTATGGTTTAATTTACTCTCAAAAGAAAATACTTAAAAGGGGCTAGGACGTGAGTATGTAATGTGTTTTAGTCATAGTTAAATCAGTGCTTTCAATTTTATTACCACAAAACTGCAGTTGGCAACTGGAGTAGCTAATTTGATTTTCACCCCCAATTGAATAAGTGCAATAGCACAAGTCGGACTACCTGGTTTTCAGATAACTTGAGTTTGCTGTGTTTGCTTGCCTAGTAAATTTGAAAAATGTGATGGCTACCAGCAACTTCTTTCTGTTAAAACCCACCATAACGCCCTATTTCTGTTAATACCTTAACTTCATTTTGTTCCTAAAGAATATCCTTTACCCTTTGGTCAAGTTTAAAAAGATTTTGTCAGTGTACAGCAATTTTTCATCCTTATATAACACAGCTGGGTACTGTCACAATAAAAACTGTATTTTCCATAATCTGATAACATTTTTCTGGTACATTTTCATTAAATGTGTTAGAGAATTTTAAAGTTTTTTCCATGCCTGCTTAATAAAAAGATTGTGTATAATGTTGTATCTGTGCAGAACTATATGGTATTAGAAACCCATCTTTCAGTATTTTTCATAATGGTAAAGCAAAACCAGCTTTGATTATATTCACTTTTGGTAGGAATACTCAAAATGGTTAGAACTTTTTCCAGTATAGGGCCAGACATGGTGGCTCACGCCTGTAATCCCAGCAATTTGGGAGGCCAAGGCAGGAGGATCACCTGAGCCCAGGAGTTTGAGGTTGCAGTGAGCTATGATGATGCCACTGCACTCTAGCCCAGGTGACACAGCAAGATCCTGTCTCACAAAAAACAAAAAACCACAACTTTTTCCGGTATAATCATTTATCCTGTGAATGAAGTTTAAATGATTTTTAATCTTTGTTAATGAGGTTATTTTGAGATTAGCTAGTTCTTCGTTTTACTGATACTTTGTCTCCTGTGTGAGGGAAAGATTAGTAGAGAAGTAGTACTAAAAATAACTCCAACATATAACTATTAAATATTAACATTCCAGAAAACAAACCCGCTGACAGATATAATTCTATAGTGTGAAGCATTTTGTAGTATCACATTGCCTAGACTGTAGTCTAACCAAGTCTTGGAATTACTCTGAAGGCTTTACATAATTTCTCTTCATCCAGGTAACGCTGATCAGTGCTTTTGTTTTCCCTCAACTACCTCCAAAACCACTGAATATATTTTTTGCTGTCTGCATCTCGTTGAGTAGTATTACTGCCTGCATACTTGTGAGTACTGTTTGGAATTTAAATGGAGCGTTCTTGAGGGCTTAATGTTGCAGTGCTTAGGACAGAGGTTTTCTGGGTCTATATAAAATGTTATCTCTAATTACATCCCCTCCCCCACCAGGATGTCAGAATTCTCAGTATTAATTGCACATTTTTTGGAAATCTTTTTCTCCTCAATCCCAAAGTTTTAATCCTAAAGAGAAATTCTGTTCCTTTAATAGTTAAAAAAAAAAAAAAAAGAAAAAGAAAAAATTAGTGGAAAGACTTCGGGTGGTCAAAGATTTGATTTAATTTACTTAATTCATCTTCACCCAAGAACTATATACAGGGCCCAACAGGCACAGTAAAGAAACAAAGATAGTGGTGGCTCCTCAGTGTTCAGTTGTTCATTAGTTGGCTGTTTCATGTCCCTGGAGAAGCAGAATCAAAACAATAAACCCTTAAAAACAATTATTTTGACTTACATAGGGCTTAAATTGTGATAGTAATTTGCTTCTTTGAGTTAAAATTAAACCAGGAGACATCTCTCAAGTGTTGTAATTCACTGATCCTGCTATACTCCTGTGATCTGAAGAAAACTGGCCCATCACACTTTGGGAGCCTTCCTGGCCCTGCAGCCTAAAGTGACTGACAATGAGCTAGTTTAATCCAAATATATACACTGTGGAAGCCCAATTTTGTATTGGGAATCTGAATCGATTATACGAATTTAAAAGTTGTCCTCCCTTCCACTACATAGAAGAGTTACACCTTTTAGTCAAATAAATTTAAACACATCCAGGTATAAGTTCATGGATAGCCTGCCAAATGATGGTGGACTACATAGGTTTGAACATAGAAGAAAGTAAACTGAGGAAGTAGAAATAAGTATAAACTTGGATGTGGAAACTCCGTTGGTACTACTTAAATTATAAAGAATTAAATTCTGGGTGCATTGATATGGAGACTGTCTCATTTAGGGTAATAAGCACTGATGAAATTGACGGTTTAAAAAGAATTAGTCATATATTAAAATTTTAATAGTTGGCCCAGTGGGTATTAAACTTTATTTCTTCTTCTTTTATAGATCTACTGGTATCGACAAGGAGACTTAGAACCGAAATTTAGAAAGTTAATTTACTATATCATATTTTCTATCATCATGTTATGTATATGTGCAAACCTGTACTTCCATGATGTGGGAAGGTGAGGCTGCCAAGGAGAAATACTTACCAGGACTCTTCAAAATGACATGTTAGAACAGTGACTAATTGTTGGATAAGGTTTGCTGAAGAATCTCCTGCAGAAGTCTGATACATGATTTTCATGTTAATTGTAAATCCAAATTCCCTCTTGCAAGGGAGACATATAGATCACTTTGCTTTTCCTTTAAAGAGCTGATGCTGCACTTAAACATTCCAACTTTCACTTTTGAAGTTAAAATTTTTTATAATGTAATTGCATGGCAAAAGGCTATGTAACAAACAATCTTGCATTTTAAGACAAATTCTTTTATTTCAGTTAAACTGAATATACAGTTGTTCCCTAGGCAACCAACTTTTGCTTATAACTACAATTTCATGTTAACAAAACAGACGGTGAAGACAACTTTGATTGTGAAGATCTAATTACAATAATAAATAAAATAATTTATACAAGGGTTTTTTTGTGACTTTTCTATAGGGGACATGTTCATTAAAAGCCCTAGTGGCTAGTTTTGGCTGAACCCTTCTCTAGTATAGGAATGACTCTTGATTTGTTTCCTTTTGTTAAAGAACCAAATTTTGTTTTGTTTTTTAAAATTGCCTGAGAGGAAGAAGGTATATTGTAACCCACCAGCTAATGTACTAAGTGAATGGCAAATTCTAATACCCCCAACTTTTTTCTGGGTAATTATATATACTATTTCATTTACTTCAAAGTGCTAACTTTGTAAACTAATGACAGTGGCTTCTGAAGGGGGAAAACTGCTTAGCTTCTGGTGGGTTTTGTTACTATGCTTATCCACATTCCCTTTAAAGTAATAAAAAACCTGTAGTGAATGTTAATGCTTTTAATGCTTTCCTCTTTACCCTGACTAAATCAGCTCCCACTGCCAGCAATGGGTTAACCAGAATTGTAATCACTACATCCTAGGTCTCTGTACTTGTATGCTGGTCAGGTCTCAAAGCGATGATATTTAATTCTTTTGAAGAAGGTCACTGATAAACTGTAGACCATGTTGATATGACTTCTCTGAAATCTACCACCCGGCCTACTTGAGTCTGATCTTCAGAGATGAATAGTACTGTCTGTAAACCAGAGCAGTTAAACTTTGATTTTAAACTTTTCTCAGTAGCTGAAGTGAATGAAATTCCTACTGACAAAATAACACTAAACATAGGGATCTATGCAGTTAAAACTCCCATATTCCACTTAACTACACACTGTCGTAAAACTGGACCTCAAATGATGTATTTAAAGGAGGTAAAAAGTCATAGCAGCAACAATGTGTGTGGCTTAAGCACTGTAGCTATTTAAAATGGTAAATTAAACCTCTTGGGGAGAGGAGTTGCTCCTATTTCCTTAAAGATGTTGTAATTAACAGTGTGGCTTCTTTGCTTGAACTCCCTGTTTCTAAGAATTACCTAATGACAATTTACCAAATCCTCAACATCCTTTGAGTCTTCTGAAACAGGACTGCCCAAAGATGATCCAATGATATTTGATTCTTCCTGATGATGTTGGAGTATGGGATCTGAAACAGTTTCAAGTTAGTCTTAAATGTATATATTTATTCTTTAAATCATGTCAAGAATTTATTCTACCTAAATGTAAGAACACTAATATCTTCATTGTTGGATCAAGAAAAGACTAAACGGCTGAATATCTGCCTAATTTTTCCCCCGTAAGATTTATCAAGCACATGGGAGTTTTATTACAGTACCTGTTAGTGTTGTCAAAGGCAAGACAGATTCAGTATCTATAACATCAGATGCCTGGATAAAGCCATGTGGTGAAGGAACGATAAGTATTGTTTCATCATCAATTGTTTCATCAACTTGTTCTTCTATAGTAGGAGATTCTAAATCCTAAATAATATTAAAGAAAAAAAAGATGAGGGCTGGGCATGTTGGCACACGCCTGTAGCCCCAGCTACTCTGGAGGCTGAGGCAGGAGGATTGCTTGGGCCCAAGGAGAGTTTGAGGTTGCAGTGAACTATGATGACACCACTGTGCTCTAGCGAGGGTGACAAAGTAAACTCTGTCTCAAAAAAAAAAAGATTGTGACGAATGTTCCTTATTAGATTTCCTTAAGATCCCAAGCACATATAGGTTGGATAGGACTGACTTAACTTTCAAATACACTCCATTTTAAATTTAGAACATAAATGAAAAGTTAAGGTCTTCAAAAATGGACTAAAGTTAACTTTAATGATCTCGTAATCTAGTGTTCTAGGTATTAAAAAGGAACTTAAAAGAATTAATTCAGTTACAGGTCACCTGAATATAGAAGACTATAGGTTACACTGGGATGAGGTTCCTAAGTTGAACCATAGAGATCTATTACTAACCACTCTCAGGAAAATGTTTCTATGGGTTTCAACAAACATTTCTCATCTACTGCAGGTGGAAAGGGAAAAGTTTCAGTGAGGAACTGTGGTAAGATGGAACATAGTTTTCTTATGCCCCCAACTGCCTCCAGATCCCTTTGCCTGCCCACTTCTGTCAGCAGCAACACTGTTGGTTCACTGATACTTGTGAGGCCAGATGTTGGCACTGTACTTTATTTTGTGAGACTAAAGAAAAAAAGGAAGGTACCAGAGAATATCCTTTTAAATTATTTCTTAGCTGTTTCCAAACTGCAGGTTTGAAGCTCAAGGCAAGAACCCATGTAGTTGTTCTCTTAAGTGCAACTTACCTCAGTAACATAAGCACTGGCTAAATCAGAGGGTGATTCCTCCTCTTGTTTGAGGTCGGTGTCAGAGATTTCTTCTGTTCTGACCATAACACTATTCATCAGTTCTGTGCTATTTTGGTCACTGAATTTGGATACATGAGCATCATTAAATGATGACTCCACAGTCATCTTAGGCTGATGAATTTCATCTGGGAAAGTGTCTGCTTCTAGGGCATCTGGAGGCTCAGGAAAATCAGATGATTGAATATCACTATCTACTGTCAGTTCTGCCTGGGATATGGAAGAAGTGATGTCCTCTGTGGCAACAGTCTGAATGATGACTCTTGGTGTGTGACACTGCACTGTGACATTGTCACTTGTGTTCAACAAATGTTCTGGCTACAAAATATTAAAAAAAATTATTAATGGCAAATGAGAAAGTACCTATTAAAGTTATACAACAAAGACATAAATTTATAGGTGATATCCTACTGTCTCCTCCCATACCTCTCACCTCTGCAACTGCAGTGTTATTACTGTTTTCCTAGAACCCCGTTCTTTGCCTGCTGGAGCCCTTGCTCTCCTGATATACCTATTCTAATGTGCATCCATCGCACATAAGGAGATACAGGGGGTGAGAGATACATCCCAGGAAAGGTACAGCGATGGTATAAAACATTGTACTTGGGACAATAGCAGTAGGAAAAATTATTTAGGTAACTGGACTACCTCATAGTTCAGTGCTTATATTTTGTATCAACTCATCCTGATCCATAACAAGTACTCAAAAATCAAGTAATCTATGTAACGTACGGATAAAGCGTGAACAATGATCTGTTCAGGAGAAGCAGGCGCAGCAGCTGTCAGGGTTACTGTGGGACTAGCAGTCAGAGTTAGGGGAAGGCCTTGGCTTGAGCTTGTTTGAAGTAGATAGGTGCCTGGAGTGCCAGTGGGCTGTAAATGGAAAGACTAAAGGAAAAAGAAAAAAGAGTTCAACAGACTATAATTAAGTCTACTTTTATACCCCAAACAGGGACTCGCTTTAGTTTACTAGCCAAAAGTGTACTTACCAATTGTGAAGGTATGAACAGGTAATAAAAGGAAGGGTATGCTATTCTTTACTATTTATCTGTCTCAAGTCATTACTCAGCCTGGAGGTTTAAGAGGTAAGACATCGTGCTCTTTGCTCCCATGTATTCCTATGGTCTGGTCTCCACTATTTGTTTCAGGGCACCAAGACACAATTGTATGAACACTGTTCCCAGTGTAGTAACCCAGCACAACCAATTGTCCCTCTTTATCCTTTCTCTGTATCATGTAAAAACTGGCAATCTTTCAAGTTAAAAAAAACACAAGTTCATATTTTTGAAAAAGCACAACAGCAGTGTTTACTTGAATGCATTTTTTATAGTATAATTTTAAGAAAAACTTTTTATATTAAGGAAAAATATAGAGAAATAGCAATTAGCAATGTTCTACTGAAGAAACATTTGAAAAGCTGGCTAACTAATAATACATTTATCTTTTGAGATCTTTAAAGGAAGTATAACAGATTTACTAATAAACCTTTCACAACTATAAGCTTCTATATAAAAATTCGAGTTAGGTTTATCCTGATACCCTAACGGGAAGAGTACTTGTACTTAAGATAGGTCTTAGGAGTTAAAATCACATAGCCTGTTTTTCAGTCCAATGTAGTCTTACGGACTTAGGCAAAGCAACTGTCCCGTGTACTGAATCCCCTAAATATAGGTTTCATTATTGCTTAAGTGAGGATAATAACTACCTCTCATGGAAAGGGTTGTTACAATTAGAAATGATTATAAAGTGCCTAACACTCAGCGAGGACTAAATTTCCTTCCTTTCCATAAAAGTGAAAGCTAATCATTTTCCTAAAGGTTGCGTGTATTCATATATGCTCAGGCATTACTGTAAATACTTTATATGTACATTTTATTTAATATATTTAAATACATTTAATTCTCAAAATTTTTTGAAGCTGAGGTACTATTATCATCCCCTATTAATAAATTGAAAAGTTTCTTAATATTTTATTGTGACCCCATATATAAAATGTGAACACATACCCCAAATGTATGTGGACATATATTTGTTTACTGGGGAGGAAGGGTTTAAAAAAAAAAAAAAAAGTTCTGTTTTCTACCTGTGTCAAATGGTTGTCTTATACACTCCCATTTTGGAGACCACTGGATTAGGAAACTGAGGCTTAGGTTAATTAAGCTGCCAGTAGAATTTCCAAAAATGGAAAGAAAAACCATTTTCTACCTTGGCCATCCTCCTGAGATTTGGTTGGGGAGAGGATGAATAAAGTTTTGCACTAATATCCCTATGTTCTTCACAATAAATAAATCTTGACAAAATTTAAATTTGCTTTATATTTTCTTAATATGAAATATGAACTAATTCTAGGTTTACTTGTTTTAGAAAGCAGGATATCAACAGTCGTGTCCATTTTCCTGCAGCTATGGCAAACATTAATCTACTTTCTGTATATACAGATTTGCCTATTTTGGATATTTCAAATAAATGAGAGCCATATACTCTGTGATATTTTGTGTTGTCTGGTTTCCAAGGTTCATCCATGTTGTAGCATGTATCAGTATTTCATTCCTTTTTATTACTGAATAATATTTGTATGGCAGTAGCACATTTTACTTACCCATTTTTCAGCTGACATTTGGGTTTCCATTTTTTGGTTGTTATGAATCATGCAATACTATGAACATTCCGTGTAAGTTTTTATTGGACACATGTTTTCCT